GTGAGTGAGTGAGTGAGTGAGGACAGAAGGGGAGGGTTAGACTAGAGGGAGCATCTTCTCCGTAACGCCAACAGCCCCCACAGCCAGACAGGAGTGGTCCAGCCCCAATAGTTACCATCGTGTCCGGATGTCCCCTTGGCCCTCAGAGCCCGTGTGCAGACGGGGAAAGAGCCCCGACCGACGCTTGATGGGGCTCCGAGACTGGCCCTTTCCGGTGGCTGCTGCCACAGGAGGCTGCCAATGAAAGTAACAAAATGAGTGCTCACAACCCAAGCCCACACACCCGAACCCGCACCCAAACTGGCCCCAGTCTCCCAAGCGGGAGAAGACCCCAGGAAATAATGCTATGGGTTTCCTAAAGCTAAGCCAGGTGACCCCAGGGACACAGGGCCAGTGTGCCACACGAGGAGGGAACAGGATGGTTCCTGAGGCCACAGGCCAAGAACCACAAGGGGCTCTGTAGAACAGCAGTTCTCAACTGGTGGGTCAAGACCCCTTTCACAGGGGTCGCCCAATTCTTAACAGTAGCAAAATGACAGTTAAGAAGTAGCAATGAAAATAATTTTATGGTTGGGGGGGTCACCACAACATGAGGAGCTGTATGAAAGGGTCGCGACATTAGGAAGGTGGAGAACCACTGCCCCAGCGTAACTTGGTCACGCTGTCCTTTGATCAATGATGAAGCAAAGGACCAGAAAGGGGGAGCGGCCTGGTCAAAGTCATGGGGGCCATCACTGGCAGGGGAGGCATCCTATTGTGAGAAACAGAAAGATTTCTCCCAAGTTGCCCCCCCCCCAAATATATGTCAAAGCTGCTCACTACACATGGCGAATGACTATACACTTGGGAAGTCAACGAAAAGGTTATCAGCCATCTAAAGCAATCAGACGGTATAGTCTGTCCCACCCTAAGTAGGGCCCACTCCCTTCTGATTGTTTCCCTGAAGGAGAGCCCAGGGAGGTCAAGTCCACGCAAGGGTGACCAAGGTTAGGGTGCCATATTGAGTCTAGGGTCCGCCCATCTTGTCACATGTAAACCCCTAGTCCCTCCCCTTCCTATTATGGGCACACCCCTAGCTCATCCCCTTCCTGTCACGCTTATGCCTGTTGTACAGCCCCTTCCTGTGATGTGTGCCGTTACCTGCAATCACGTCCCTAAGTCACACTTTGGCCAGAAATAAAGAGCAGAGACTCCTGGCCTCTCAGCTCACACTGGTGAGATCATGGCCGTCCAGGGGGTGAGCATGCTACCACGAAATGTGCCTGACTTCTTTATTTCACCCTCCTGGGGCGAGGCGCAGGCAGGGGAGAAGCAGCTCAGATGCCTGGGCCATTCATGTGTTGTGCAACCTGGCGAGTGAGGGGCGGCCCTCTCTGAGCCTCAGGCTCCTCACTCACACCAAGGAAGCCCTTGCCCTGCCCTGCTGTCCTTTCAGGCCTTCTGGGAGGGGGAATATGAGAATGGTTGGGAAGTTATATGAGTCATAGAAGCCCCAAACCAATCCACATTTCTCTGCTTTATGAGGGCGGGCTGTGCGGTCCCCTTGCCTGGCCAGCTCCTGATGCCAGCGGGAGAAGCAAACCCCTCCACACTGCAGAGTCGACTGGGACTCGTCGTAGCGACCCGGTGGGACGGAGCAGAACAACTCCACAGGGTTTCTGAGCAGTGCCGTCAGGGGAGCAGGCACCTCATCTTTCTCCCTCGGAGCGGCGGGTGGTCTCGCCGTTGGCAGCAGAGTGCTGGAGCACTCACCACCCAGGCT